GGGCCAGAAGCGATTCTTGTGCGTACGGTTCAAATCGCAGCTCACAAGGTCCGGATATTTATATCCACGTATCCTCTGGGTAGCAACCAAACACCTGTTTGGGAGCGAGCTAAAGTGAGAAGGCGTAAACCTTCGCGTGCGCTGGGTTTGGGTCCCGCCACGTTAAAACCCCGCCCAATGAAAAGAAGCAAACAGCCTCGGATGAGACCCCCTTTTTCTGATGACGACCACGGCAAACGTATAAAGGACTATGATTTAAGGGTATGCACCTGGAATATCCGGACCCTTAATGGGGAAGGTGCCTCTGCCCGGCTGGTTGATGTCCAAGAAGAAGAAGAAGAAGTAGGGATTTCGGAAAAGTGTAAAATTACAGGAACGTTTCAGGTATCAAAAAGGAATAGGACCGTACAATAAAATTTCAGAGGCATCCCGTTGCGATTTCGCCTCAGAAATCATCTAAGGAAATTAGAATAATCATGAAATAAAATTTTTAATATTATTTTTTCGTTCTTGAACTATAAACAGCAGCGCTTTACCTAACTTCCAATGAGTTCCTTTACAGCAGGCTATTTTTGCAATGCTTTTTGCTGTAATTTTTCAATCCCTTCCACGGTACCTATACCGACATATCAAGCAATACGCCCACAGTGGGATAAATCACGAAAAATAGTATAAGTAGTAAAAATTACCCAGGGGCATCAAATTTGGAACACAAGATTCTTTAATGAATATTAGTATAATTTGCTAACATAAACAAAATCCGCACACCCCACAAATGCTCCAATTTTATTTAAAAACTCAAAGTGTTATATTTGGGAAGCTCCAGCAAAGAAACAAAAGGTGATCTTGCACTTAGGCTTAAGTTTAAGGCAGAACTCTTAACTACTATTCCTGAAAATACCATCCCTGCATTTTAACACAATTTGTGTTTCAATATTTTTTTAATGTTCAAAAAGTGTTATAGCCAGCTGAACTGACATATTATTTATACACTGAAAATGCTTATGCTGGTATGAAGTCATAAAAAAATTGCAATAAAACTAAAGATAGCTTTTATTTAGAAAACATCAAAGCAAAATAAGTTCAAAGTTTTTTTTTTGTGATCAAAATTAAAACAAGTAAAATGCAGGGGCATTTGGTCTTGTTTTATTTTTTTTAATACTTTATCGCATTTTTTCTAACTTTTTTGGGTTTTGAGTAGTACTCTTACCGCCGTTGGGAGGTCCATGATTCTGGTTCCTGCAACATCAAAATTTTTTCAAATAGCAGTGGCCTCTCGGGAGACATGGCAAACCACCGAGTGTACTTCTGCTATAAAAAAAGCTTCTTCGGTGGTGGAAAAAATGTCAAACCTTTATTGAGACGTCAAGATCTTTGTTGTTTGTTCGATAAAAAAAAAAAAAAAACTGGTTTATTCGATATTCAAAAAATCAAAGATTTCAATAAAACCGCCTATAGATATCCAAAAAACCGTTGGAAACCAGTTTGAAAAAACTGGGCGGTGATGGGCGGAAAAAGGGCATGGTTCTCCCCCAATGAAAGTCAATAACGAATAATCTTAATACCCTCCTCCCCCGATAGCTAGAGAGTCGCCATAGGTTCTGCCGCAAATGCAAGAGCTTGAGCTCGAAGCAGAATGCTGCCTAAATGAATCCAGAGCTTTATTAGGTGTCTGAAATTTGTTGGCAGTTGAGGGAAGTATCGAGTACTTTCGAGGATCGTGTTCTTTGGTATCGATACTTTTAAGGATCGGGTATTTTTCAGAGTACTGAGTACTTTCTTTAAATATACACACGTTGGTCACATTTAAAGTGCTTAGTGTAGAAGTACCACCTGCTGGCAGCACTTTATTGAAATTTATATATTAATCCCAAATTACGTTAAATGAATGGCTATGTCTACTGGATACAAGTATTGTTCTTGAAAATTATTTAAAGTTGAAATTGTGTACAAT